TTGCCGCTGCTGTCACCACCGTCAAGCTAGGTGGGCGTGGTTTCAACAACCAACTCCAGTCTCTTTGCCCCCCAAAAAACTCATAAGGCTATTGTAAGAATAAATGAAACTTGTTTTTATTCTTTCAAATAATTAGACATGCTAAAACAGAATTTGGTAACAATACAACATAACGTCGGAAAAAATAACAATTTCATAGGGTCCTAAACATGTAATTTTTGTTAAACATTTAATAAATTGAAGTTAAATTGTTTAAGTTTCATGATTTTAATTCATTAGACATGCCTTCTTACTTACATGCTTCTTACCACAGTATTTTACATTTTGTGCTGTAACAACTAAATTAGCAAATATTTCTATTTATTTCCTATAATAAACTCACGAGATGCTGCAGCATCATCATCCTGCACATGCTAAACTTATATCTAAATATGTTACCATTTAAAAGTAAATCCACTCTGTGCTTAAGAGGGTCATCTTCTCCCATCTTACCTTATATTTTGGCCATTTTATTTTATTAAAATATATAGGCCTGTGTTTTTGCTGTATAGGAATCTGCTTTACAAATATTGGCAGTAGAATAGTGAGCACATTGTGCACTAAATCGTTAAACTTTATGGTTCACATGTTGTTCATCTGAAAAATAATGACTCAATCTGGCACGCTTCAAAATGACATGATTTCAATTCGGCTTGATGATCTTGAAATGTTACTTACTATTTATTTCTGTTCATCTGTTAAGCCATTTTTAATACCTCAGCATATTCCTTTAACCAGTATCCATTGTTAGTTATATTGTCTATTCCAGTTTGGTTTAATCCATGTGTATTTTATTTGGTAGTAGTACTTAGGTGTTCGAAACTAGTAATTATCCCAGTTTTAAAGCTTCCAGTAACAATTCAAGTTGCAGTTTCATTCATGCCCAAGTAATCATTGAACTGAACCTTTTTCTAATACATTTTCCTTTTACTAACTTTTAAAATGTTACGTATTGTAGGCATTAGTGTCTATGCCTAGAACTAGAAAAACAGATAACAGAAATCATTTGAATTAAAGTAACTAAAAAGTAAGTACTAGTGCTAATAAAAATACTAAAAGAGAATAATTGATAACTGAACTGTAGCTCAATGGCTCTTGATTCTATAGCAGCCCAAAGTTGCACTCATGTTTATACTAATAACTTTTGAACCAAGGGCTAGAAACACAATTTTTT